TTGAAACATGGAGTTTTTGGGACAGTGCTTTTATAATATGATAAAAATATGAGTATTCTAATATTTCATACTTTAATTGTAGATTTTGGTATGTTGGTTTCCTGAAGTGGGGAAATTAGTCATTCTGCCATCTCATTAAGAAAAAGCAGTAAGAAATATGTTCTTTATGATAAATCTAAATAGAATGCTTCATTGAATAACTTTTACTTCATTGTACTTAAATAGAATTTCTGGTGTCTTAGTAGAAGATTTATTTTTAAATCACAAAAGTGCTGTATTAATCAGAAAATATTGTATAGTTTAAAATATTAATTGCTTATAAGAATATTATAAATTTTATTTTTTAGTGCAATTTTTATTTTCTTTTTATTAAGCAGATGGACAGCAGGAAGGTCATAACAGAAACATCACCATGAAATGAATCTAAATTGTTTTACTGAGTAGACTTCATTTGTGCAAATAGAAAGCAAGTCCCTGAAAACCAATTTAATGGTCAGAAAACTTTAAGGTCTAATACTTCAATCAATTCCTATGCTTTCTTTCCTGGGATAAGTACAAATAGGCCTATAAATGTATATTTAAAAAGGGAGCTGATGCAATGCTGCACATTTGTAGTTCTGCTTAAGAAACTTTTTATTTTTTTAAGTTTTTTTTAACCTATTACGGGTTTACATTTCAGATAAGAGAAATAAAACATTAGCTCATTTATATAACTCATCAAGCTGTTGAAAGTAAGACAGCTTTAGTAGACTCAAAACAGATGTTCATAGGAGCACCTGGGTGGCTCAGTTGGTTAAGCGACTGCCTTCGGCTCAGGTCATGATCCTGGAGTCCCCGGATCGAGTCCCACATCATGCTCCCTGCTCAGCAGGGAGTCTGCTTCTCCCTCTTCCCTACCCCCTCTCATGTGCTCTCTCTCTCTCTTTCTCTCTCTCAAATAAATAAAATCTTTAAAAAAAACCAGATGTTCATAAAAGTTTAAATCTTTTATAAAGTTTTACAGTGTTACTAATAAGCATGTATCCTGATACTTTTTATCCATTAGAGGATATTTATCTACTGGCATGCCCTCTATTTTAGGTAAATAAATCAAGCTGTTAGAGAAATTGAATATATCTGTTCTGCTATACTAATTAGTAATAGTGATGTGATGATAACAGTAACATTGAGTATTTTTATGTACAAGAAGATATGTAAACCACTTTACAAATGAATGAGAATTCCTGTGGTATTCTTGTGTTTTCACAACAAAATATCAACTCAGCCTTTTATCTTTTTAAATCACTCTACTTAAACCCTGTCCTCCCTCTTCACTCACTATTCATTAGGTAAATGGTGGCAGAGGGATTCCCTCACTTTTCATCCATCTTCATTCACGGTGAGGGTTAAAACCTGGACAGAATACGTTGTTTGTTCATCTCCTAATTGACATATTCCTCAGTCAGCCATTTCTTGTTCCTTCAAAGTTGTTGGCATGGAAATGAAGTTGAGGGTTAGATTGTGGGAGTAGCCTGTGACGCCTGTGACACATTGTTTATTTACTTGTGATAAAAACTACAACATTGGCAGTAAAATAAAGGACATGTTCAGAAAAAGGTCATGTTAAAAAATGGGAGAGGTTTGAGGATATGAGGAGAAGGGAAGAAAGAAACTTGGAAGAATGGATGAGACACTTTCACCATATGCCACATGGGACTTGATCTTGCAGAAGTCTCACTGATCATAATATGCCCCGTCAGGGGCCTGAAAACCTAACCTCATCCTGCTTCTTTGGCAGCATTCCAGTCTCTGCTCCTCAGGGATTGCTTTGACGTAGCTCTTCATGCAGAAATATATATTTTTTGCACTTATTTTATGTGAATCTGTATTTTGAAATCCTGTGATACCTCTGATTTATTCCATTGTGACCTCTTATGAGATGTAAGCACCTGAATTCAGTGCACCCATTTTTCAGAACATGGGAATCTCAATGCAGTAGCACTTTGTCAGTTAACTAAGACTGTTACATAGCTACTTTTTCATTATAATTATATTTTACATTATTATATTGAAACTAACATAATTCCTATTAATTTTTTACCGACTGGGCTTAGAAAGAATACCCTTGTTTGCTTTCTATCAGGGGTTTGCAGAAGGTATATCCAGTTAAAGAATGCTTCTGTGTTACAACACTGATACTAAAGAAACTTTCTTATCAAGTTACCAATTATTCTACTAATATGATCTACAGGTGGTACATATTTCTCATATGCATTACCAGAATAAAATCTGGGTTTCCCAGAACATATATGCTTTCTTTTTCACAATTATCAGAACTAAGTAACCCAATACATTGTCTTTTAACCATATATTCAAGCAGATTCAGAATTAAATTTTGTAAGTCTTCTCCTTTATTTGTAATTATTTTGAATTATCCTGTTTTAAATATGCATTTCAATTTTGTAAACAAATTCATTTTGAAAGTAGATGGATTATACATTATTTTGGCAACATATATTTAATTTCCTTTTACTTAAATGGAGTGTGAATGAATATTTTTGAGCTATAGGTGGTGTCCCATTCATTTCCCAATGCCATATGCACTATTGCTTAGAATCCTTCAATGTGAATTATAATGGAATCTTTGTTTTTTTAAATTATCTTTAGAATTGTTCAATACTGGATTTGAACTGATTACATTTTTTCAGAAAGGAATAAGGAATGATTTTTAAAATGTTTTTATTTTATTTTATTTAAATTCCAGTCAGCTAACATACAGTGTAATATTAGTTTTCAAGTATACAATGTAATGATTCAGCACTTCCATACAACATCCAGTGCTCATCACGACAAACACATTCCTTAATTCCCATCACCTATTTAACCCATTCCCTCACCCACCTCCTGTCTGGTAACCATCTGTTTGATTTCTATAGTTAAGAGTCTCTCTTTTTTTCCCCCCCTTTCCTTCTTTGTTTTATTTCTTAGAATCAACATATGAGTGAAATCATATGGTATTTTGTCTTTGGCTATTTCACCTAGCATAATATTCTCTAGCTCCATCCATGTTGTTGCAAATGGCAAGATTTCATTTTTTTTTAGGGCTGAGTAATACTCCATCACATGTATATACACCACATCGTCTATATCCATTCATCAATAAATGGATGTTTGGGCTGTTTCTATAATTTGACTATTGTAGATAATGCTTCTATAAACATCACGGCACATGTATCCCTTTAAATTCGTGTTTTTGTATTCTTTGGGTAGATACCTAATAGCGCAATTGATGGATTGTAGGATAGTTCTGTTTTTAACTTTTTGAGGAACCTCCATATTGTTTTACAGAGTGGCTTCATCATTTTACATTCCCACCATCAGTACAAGAGGGTTCCCCTTTCTTCATATCCTTGCCAACACCTGTTGTTTCTTATGTTGTTGATTTTAGCCATTCTGACAGGTGTGAGGTGATATCTCATTGTAGTTTTAATTCACATTGCCCTGATGATCAGTGATGTTGAGAATCTTTTCATGTGTCTGTTGGCCATCTGTGTGTCTTCTTTGAAAAAATGTCTATTCATGTCTTCTGCCCAAATATTAAATGGATTATTTGTTCCTTAGGTGTTGAGTTGTATAAGTTCTCTATATATTTTGGATACTAACCATTTATCAGATATGTCATTTGCAAATATCTTCTCCCATTCTGTATGTAGGTTGCCTTTTAGTTTTGTTGATTGTTTCCTTCACTGTGCAGAAGCTTTTTATTTTGATGAAGTCCCAATAGTTTATTTTTGCTTTTGTTTCCCTTGCCTCAGGAGACATACCTAGAAAAAAGTTGCTATGGCTGATGTCAAAGAGGTTACTGCCTGTGTTCTCCTCTAGGATTTTTATGGTTTCAGGTCTCACATTTAACTCTTTCATCCATTTTGAGTTTATTTTTGTGTATGGTGTAAGAAAGTGGTCCAATTTCATTCTTTAGCACATTGCTGTCCACTTTTCCCAACACCGTTTGTTAAAGAGACAGTCTCTTTCCCATTAAATATTCTTTCCTGCTTTGTGGAGATTAATTGACCATATAGTTATGGGTTCATTTCTGAGTTTTCTACTCTCTTTCATTGATCTATGTGTCTATTTTCATGCTAGTACCATAGTTTGGATTACAACAGCTTTGTAATTATAAGAAGTCCAGAATTGTGATGCCTATAGCTTTGCTTTTCTTTTTCAAGATTGCTTTGGCTATTTGTTGTCTTTTGTGGTTCCATATAAGTTTTAGGATTGCTTGTTCTAGCTCTGTGACAAATGCTATTGGTATTTTGATGGGGATTGCATTTGATGTGTAGATTGCTTTAGGTAGACATTTTAACAATATTTGTTCTTCCAATCCATGAATGCATGGAATGTCTTCCCATTTCTTTGTGTCATCTTCAATTTCTTTCATCAGTGTTTCATGGTTTTCAGAGTACAGATCTTTCACCTCTTTGGTTAGGTTTATTCCTAGGTATCTTAGGTTTTAGTGCAATTGTAAATGAGATTGATTCCTTAATTTCTTTTTCTTCTGCTTCATTATTGGTGTATAGAAATGTATGTTGATTTTGTATCCTGTGACCTTACTGAATTCATCTTTTGGTTCTAGCAGTTTTTTGTTGAAGTCTTTGGGGTTTTTTGTCTAGAATATCATGTCATCTGCAAATAGTGAAAGTTTGACTTCTTTCCTGCCAATTTAGATGCATTTTACTTCTTTTTGTTTTCTGATTGCTGAGGCCAGGACTTCCAATACTATGTTGAATAAAAGTGGTGAGAGTGGACACCCTGTCTTGTTTCTGACCATATAGAAAAGCTCTCAGTTTTTCCCCAATTTGGTTGATATTAGATGTGGATTTTTCATATATGACCTTTATTATGTTGAAGTATGTTCCCTTTAAACCTACTTTGTTAAGGTTTTTTTTTATCATGAATGGATGTTGTACTTTGTCAAATGCTTTTTTGGAATTAGCAGTGATTTTTTAAATTATTATTTTCAGCAAAGCTAGAGAAGATCTGCTGAAAACGCAAAAAGAACGTGATTTTCACCGAATGCACCATAAACGAATAGTCCAGGAAAAAAACAAATTAATTAATGACCTCAAAGGGTAAGTTGCTAATATTTGTTGATATATTTATTAAAGGGTTATTTAATTAATATTAAGTAACTTGGCTATGGCATAAGGTTTGAGGTAAAATAATAATTCAACATTTACTGAGTCTTTATACTATGCTATGTGTTTGAAATACAAAGATAAGTAAGTTTAGGCCCTTGCTGTCAAGGTTCCCAGGGACTACTAGGATGTGTGATAGGGGAGGAGTTAAACTGAAATATTCTGCATGATGCTATGCCAACCAAGGGTGGTCACCCTAATCTTTAGACTGGGGTATGAGAGGGTTCAGGGACCTATCTCTAGGAATTCTGAAGTATAAGTTAACAGAGGGAGAGGGAGCAGGGTGCTCTGTACAGACATTACATACTGTGCAAAGGCACCAAATCATGAAGGAATATGGCATATTCACCGTATTGTATGCATAGAGAATAAAGTGCAAAAGCTGCTTGACAAGGGTAAGGTGGGGGGGGGCATATGCTGAGTGACCTTAAATTTATGCAAAGGTTTTTAGAAATTATTTTAAAAATATTCAGTTTTATTTTCCCTCCTCCCTTCCTCTCCTACTTCCAAATTAAAGAAAGAAACTCCCCCCCCAAAGTAAAACAAAAATCAAGAAAATAATTTATAATCCTTAATGAAAATTTTCCTTTATTTGCTCTAGGGCAGTGCTATCCAATAGAACTTGCTGTGATGTTATAAATATTCTGTATGTGTACTGTCTAATACAATAGCTACTAAGTCACATGTGCTGTTAAGCACTGGCCATGTGACTAGCACAACTAAGGGATTTGACTTCTAATTTTGTTTGTTTATTTATTTATTTAAAATTTTATTTATTTGACAGGAAAAGAGAGAGAGCACAAGTAGGAGGAATGGCAGGCAGAGAGGGAGAAGCAGGCTCCCTGCTGAGCAGAGAGCCTAACATGGGGCTCGATCCCAAGACCCTGGGATCATGACCTGAGCAGAAGGCAAACACTTAACCGACTGTGCCACCCAGGCGCCCCATTTCTAATTTTATTTAATTTTAATTAAGTTTAAATTTAAATAGCCACATTTAGCTACAGCTACTGTATGGGACAACACAGTTTAGGGATGGTAATGACAGTTTCTGTTTTTTGTAGGTGGTCATGGTTATTGTGGCTATTGTGATTTCTAAATCATAGGCTGTCCCATGAAGCTTCAGAATCAATGTACTTAAACTTAATAAATTGTAGAAACTAGAGTTTTCCTTACTTTTCTTAAGCGTCTGTAGGAATAAAGCACCATTTTAAGAGGAAGATTGCATTAACTTAAAAAAAGGGCCTTGAGAATGTTTGTTCTTTGACTTTAACCAACTCTTTTGGTCTAATATTCTGGTTTGAATTTTTGGTTCATAAAATTGGTCTTAGTCTGGAGAAATTCAGAAAAAGTGTTCAAAATGATTTGTTCCCTTTTTAACTTAAACAGTAACTGAGAAGTAGAACAGTATAATGGAAGGAGCTTGGATTTTGGTGTCAAGTAAACATTGGAAGCCTGGCTTCACCACTTACGTTTAAGATGTCCATTGTGTTTTGTCTCTTACCCTTAACAGTGTTGATAATATATTTTGGATTAATATGTATAAATACTTGATACTGTACATGGAACATAATAAATGGTATTTTTTTGCATATATCATAACATTGAAAGTATATGTTGAATATATACTACTTTATCTAGATTTCCCTTTTGCATTTTTATACAGGTCTTTTCAGAACTGTATATTGTATTTTGTTTTAAAAGTACATTCTTTAAGTTGGGAATTATTCTACACTCAGGACAATATAGGAGCCTGTGGCTCCTATTGGTCATGTAGAAGTCCTTTAAAGGTAGCTAAGCTTTTTCTTGTCCAAAGATAAATAATTGTTGTGTCTTCATTAGGGTGAGCCACCCATTTATCCAGAGGAAAAGCCCAAAGGTATTTTAATAGTTTGTATGTGTATGCACACACACATACAATAAGTGAGTTTGAATCACAGCTCATTCTTTCACAGGTTTGACTCTATTCCCACTATCTGTGCTAATTCAAACAGGTTTCAGTACTTCAGTTACTTGGGTACATAACAGTTTAAGAGCACCTTTGTATCTAGTTGTGGCAGCTGAAATATGATTGTTCACTGTTGCTGCTTGGATATTCTACTCTTTGGTAAATTGTTTGAGTTTTTTAAATTGTTTTTTCTTGAGTCTCTAGCCCATGTTTAAAAATATATCATACTTGTTAAATTTCCTAGTATGTTTAAAGAGAATACTATTGTAATTCATCTCATATAAAAATTCAGCATTTTCAGATTATACTTTTTGTAATCTTCAGGGGCCCTGATGAAGAAATCCATATTACACTGTAATATAATTAACATTTGTGTATTCAGTTAGCCTTTATTTCCACATTTAATCATTAAGAATAATGTCTCCATTTAATCATTGGGATGAATCACTAGTGTGTGTTTTCTAAGGACCTAAGACAAAATTTCAATGATACCCTCAGTCACAAAAAAACTAGAGATGAAGTTAATCACTAGTGAACACCTTGTCTGATTGTTGTACTATTGCATAATAAATCAACTGTAAGGAAGAATGTTTTCCATGCCAGGCTAAATTAGAGTCTAAGTTCTCTATGTTAATATTTTACCCAAATATTTCAGTTACATATCTATATTCCTTTCACTGTAAATCACAAAACGTCAGTCTTAATTTTTTTCTGTAAATTGTTTAACTAAGTAGATAATTAGTTGATTTTACCTATCAGCTTTATAGGAGTTATCACTTAACATGAGTTTCTTATGAATTTACTTATTTTCAGAATTATCAATATCAAAAGTTAGAACTTATAAGCAGATGAATTATGAGCTACCTATGGAACTTACAAAACAGACACACTCTTTCAGACTGACTAAACAGAAGGTTTTTGTTTGTTTCAAGTTTTTATTTAAATTCTAGTTAGTTAACATATAGTGTAATATTGGTTTCAGGAGTAGAATTTAGTGATTCATCACTTACATATAACAGCCAGCGCTCATCACAAGTACCTTCCTTAATACCCATCATCCATTTAGCCCAACCCCCTCCCACCTCCCCTCCAGCAAATGTCAGTTTGTTCTCTATAGGTAAGAGTCTCTTATGGTTTGCCTCCATCTCTCTCTCTTTTTTTTTCCCCTTCCCCTATGTTCATCTGTTTTGTTTCTTAAATTCCACATATGAGTGAACTCCTATGGCATTTGTCCTTCTCTGACTTATTTTGCTTAGCATAATACACTCCAGCTCCATCCATGTTGTTGCAAATGGCAAGATTTCATTCTTTTTGATGGGTGAGTAATATTCCTATGTGTGTATGTATACACATCTTCTTTATCCATTCATTAGTCGATGGTCATTTGGGCTCTTTCCATAATTTGGCTATTGTTGATAGTGCTGCTATAAACATCAGGGTGCATGTGCCCCTTAGAATCAGTATTTTTGTATCCTTTAGGTAAATACTAGTAGTGTAATTGCTAGGTCATAGGGTAGTTCTATCTTTAACTTTTTGAGGAACCTCCATACTGTTTTCCAGAGTGGCTGCACCAGTTTGCATTCCGACCAACAGGGTAAGAGGATTCATGTTTCTCTGCATCCTTACCAACAGAAGGGTTTTTTGAATGTTGTTTCCTTTTTATATTCTAGGGGTATTCTACATGATGCTAATTCTTGGGATAAAGGATTATCAACTCATATCCCATGAATGAGTTAGATGCTAAAGTTAGTAATACAGGAAAAATTGTTCCATCAATAATAACAATCCTTGCATTTGTCTACAAATTACAGCACACACTGTTTTGTGTATATAACTCTGTAGCTGAATATGTGTTTATAAATATATAATATTCATGGAAGTGTGTAGTATACAGCAAAGTGTATATATAGCACATTAAGTGGAATGGGGGATAGAACTGTACATACTACTTACATTTTTATTTTATTACTCTCTCATGCTTTGCTGAATATGGTTGAATTTTAATACATACTATATATATATATTAAATGTATATGTAACTTAACTTTAGTGCTTAGGTTTTATTGCTTTCAACAATGAGGTATAATAATACATTATGTTAAGATAAATATGACTTACAAATCAATGACTTTTATAAATACTTTCATGAAAGTATTGTGCAAAACAAGGACTCCTTTTATTTTTTTAAAGATTTTATTCATTTATTTGAGAGAGAGCACACAAGTCGGGGTGGGGGAAGGAAAAGGACAAGCAGACTCCCTGCTCAGCATAGAGCCTGACTTGGAGCTCCATCCCAGGATGCCAAGATCATGACCTGAGTGGAAGTCAGACTGAACCACCCACGTGCTCTCTTATTTTTTTAATAGAAAAACATTTAACATTATTTTGGGGCTCTTCTGCTTGCATCCATGTCAGAGTAACTGGTATAGAACTAGCTTTCCAACTGGCAATAGATGAGCTCTTCAACTGTAATGAACTACAAAACTGAATAAAATTTTTGGCAGCTGTTTTTTTTTAGATGTTGGAAAATTGGCAGAGTAGGACTGTGATGCCTAAGAGAAGGGAACCATTCAAAGTGAGCGGCATGATCACCTCAGATTTTGGTCCAGAAGTACTTATTCTGACAATAGTGTGGCAAAGTAGAACACAGTCAGAACACAGTTATCTTGATTAACTGATGAGGCAGGGCTGCCGAGGGAGCTGGAATTTGCAGGATTGGATACACAAAAGGTGGGAGGTGAATGAAAGAAATATAAGAAATATTTGTAGTAGTTCCCTTTAATCTTTGACCAAAGACTAAGTTTTGGAATAGTGAGAGAATGATGCCTACAAAGAACAGCTGCTGGGAAACTATGAGTTAAATGGAGATTCCAGAGTTTGCAGATGTAGGAATTCTGACCAGCTACAGTGGAGGAACCTGACTAAAAACTCTGGGCATTCAGTTAGGACCCTTGATAAGCCTGGGTGGCTCAGTCTGTTAAGGGTCTGCCTTCAGCTCAGGTCATGATTCCAGAGTCCCGGGATCCAGCCTCCCACGTCAGGCTCCCTGCTCAGTGGGAAGTCTGCTTCTCCCTCTGTCCCACCCCGTTCATGCTCTCTCTCTCACTCTCTCTCTCAAATAAATAAATAAAATCTTTAAAAAAAGACCCTTGATAAACCATCTCATAGGAGCAGAGCTATTCTAGCCCTAGAGAAGGAACTACTTTAAACTTGCCTTAATAAAAGATTAAAAGTAAGCTTTGAAAAGTTCAAATTTCCCATCAGTAAATTAACTGTCTGCCAGAACAAAACTCTTTAAAGGAAGAGAACAAAGTTCAGATAAATATATGTCCAACATATGATAAAATATATAACATATATAGAAGCAGGAAAATGTGTCCCATACATATCCAGGAAAAAATAGAAACAGACCCAGAAATGACCGAAATAACAGAACTAGTAGATGAAGTCTTTAAAACAGCTCTTATGAAATGTTCAGAATTTTAAAGAAAATAATGAATATAGTGAGTGGACAGTTGGGAAATAGCAGAAGTGAAATGGAAACTATAAACAAAGAACCAAATGGAAGTTCTCAAAATGGAAAACATATTTGCAACAAAAAAATTCACTAAGAAAGGAAGCTGAAAAGAGTTAACAGAGCTTCAGAGAAAAAAAGACTAAAAAAATAAACAGAATTGTGCCTGTGAGGCAATTTCAAGTAGTCTATCCTATGTCAGAAGAAGACACTGGAGTGACTTTCTCAACTTTGATAGCTTACTCCAGCTGCTTCATATATCAGTTAAAATTATTTATTCAAGGAATCTGGGAGTGTTCATTGGGTGGGTACATGGACCAAATAAGCCCACTTTGAACCAGACCTTAGCCATGATGCTACTTATTCTCTGGCCTCTGTAAATCCCCTTTCTAACATAGGGGCTGTGATGTCACTCTGGGTTTGTGGATATTAATAATAACTTCTTAAAATATCCTTTCCCAGTACATCGTCACACAAGTAAATAGCTATAGGTAATTTTGTGGAAGAACGGGGACTGTCATCACAGTGTATAATTGCTGTGGTGTTATGGAGTTCCTTTTCTACTCTTTGTCACTAGGGCAGCTCAAGGTTTTTTCACTTTTCTGAGTGTTAGCTATCACTTTTTCCAGATTTCTGAGAGTCACCTCAGCAGTGACTTTGTTACATCCACTGGAGTACTTGTTTCAGTACTTGCAAAATCCAGTGTCTTAAGCAAATTATTGTTTATCCAGTCTTAGGTTATAGCCCTTTTAGCATATCAAAATCCAGTCTCTGGTGCTTTTTTGGTTCCTGTTAATATATGATTAATTCTTACAGCAGTTTGGATGTATATAGTCTCCTTTCTCCCTTACCAAACCATTAGCTTGGCAGTTAGGAGAGGAGGAAGTAGGGCCAACTTCAGGAAGGCATTTACCTTCTGGGGAAGATACCTCTACTGCAGTTCGCAGCACAGCTGAAGTGTTAGCTCTCTCTAGGGAAGGAGAGCCACCTCTGCATGCCCACTGGGCCTAAGGAGAAGGGATACAGAAACAACATCCTCAGTGTCATCCTGAGAATTAGAGAAAAAGAGGCCATTTCAATAAGATAAAAAAGAGTCAGTTTATCAGGAAGTCATAATATGCATGGCTCTAATGTAAGAGCTTCAAAAGTATATGAAGCAAAATCTGATAAAACATAAAAATAGATATTTCCACAGTTACAATCGGAGATTTTAACATTCCTCTTTTAGCAATTATTAGAAAAAAAGGCAAGAAGTCTCTTAAGTCTATAGAATAAGGCATCAATTAATTGAGTGTAATTGACATTTCTTGAATTCTACTTTGGACTTTTCATGTGCACAAAATAGATCATATGCTCACCCATTCAGAGAATCGATGTCATACAAAATATGTCTCTGACCACAACCAAATTAAATTAAGTCAATGACAAAAAGCTCTCTGGAAAATTCCCAAATATTTGGAAATTAAGTAACATCGTTCTAAACAGTCCATGAGTCAGAAAAGGAAGTGAGAAAGTATTTTGATCTGAATGGCTGAAGATGAAGCATATTAAAAAGAGTGGGATGCAGCTAAAGCAGTGGTTAAGGAGGTAAAACTGATAGTTTTATTTTTTTAATTTTTTTAAATTGATAGTTTTAAATGCTTAGAGAAGAAAATTTTATACTAATAATCTAATCTTGTACCTTAGATGCTAAAAAAAAATGCAGAGAAAGAAAAAGAAATGAAATAATAAAAAGATCAGAAACCAATAAACTAGCAAAGGGATAAACAAAAATAAACAAATACATAAAAATAAACAAAATCATGTTGGTTGTTTGAAAATATAATAAAACTGATAAAGTTGATAATAAAATTGAAAAGACTACATAGACTAATCACCAAATGTTGGTCAGAGAGGTAGAGTAACCAAGGCTGTCATATATTGCTGTTGGAAGTAGAAGTTAAAACCCAGCAATTCAACTCCTAGGTATTTTTTCTAAGAGAAAGAGAACCAAAAAATATCTTATATGACTTCGCATAAGAATGTTCATAGCAACCTTAATTTATAATGGCCTCAAGCTAAAATCAGTTCTTCATCAGCAGAATATTGAATAAACACATGGTAGAATATACATACAAAGGAATACAACTCACAATAAAAAGAAATGAATTACTGGTATGCACAGCAGCCTAGAAGAATCTAAAATTATGCTGAGTGAAAGAAGTCAGTTTCTGGCCTCATGGAATGAATTTGGAAGTTTTCCTTCCTTTTTTATTTTTTGTAATAGTTTGAGAAGAATAGGTATTAACTTTTCTTTAAATGTTTGGTAGAATTCACCTATGAAGCCATCTGGTCCTGGGCTTTTGTTTTTTGGGAGTTTTTTGATTACTGATTCAGTTTCTTTGCTGGTTATCAGTATATTCAAATTTTCTATTTCTGGGGTGCCTGGGTGGCTCAGTCATTAAGTGTCTGCCTTCAGCTCAGGTCATGATCCCAGGGTCCTGGGATCGAGCCCCACAACAGGCTCCCTGCTTAGCGGGAAGCCTGCTTCTCCCTCTCCCACTCCCCCTGCTTGTGTTCCCTCTCTCGCTGTCAAATAAATAAATAAAAATCTTAAAAAAAATTTTTTTTTTTCTATTTGTTCATGATTCAGTTTTCATAGTTGATATGTTTTTAGGAATTTATCTGTTTCTTCCAGGTTATCCAATTTGTTGGCATATACTTTTTCATAATCTCTTATAATTGTTTGTATTCCTGTGATGTTGGTTGTTAGTTACATAAGAGAACATATTCTATGATTCCAAATATATGAAGTTCTAGAATCTCCTGAAGGCATTAGAAATGCTCTATATTTTGATAACAATGTGGACTACCTGGGCATGCATATTTCTTAAAACTCTAAACTGTAACATTTAAACTCTGTATATTTTACAACAGGTAAACTACACTTAAGTAAAAAAGGTAAAAAAAGGAATTTTGAGGGCATTTTCAAATAAAACAGTATCTTAAAGGTGCTTACATCATATGTTGAGTTGAATTATTCCTCCTATGAGATAATGAAATATTTTTATACTTAATTTTCCTAATATAAGTTAATTAGACTTGTTTTCAAGACCATCCTTTAGTTTATTTTGATGTTTAATCTTCCATTGTTTGCAGTCCTTGTCTTTTTGACAATTGTTTCTCAAATGATTAAAGAAACTGCAAGTTTTTCTCTCAGTGAATAACAATCTTCTGAATACATGTTTGAATACAGCAAAACTGTTGGTAGGAAATAGAAAACTAGTTAACTCAAAAGAAATCTGACTTCCTCGTTCCTACCATGTTTAGAGAAGTAGCATACCAAGTAATATTTCTGGCAATTCTTGGCTTGTTATGTTAGCCTTTATATGGTTATTCATTTTTTATTTGACTGCAAAAAATGAGAGGAAGAAAAAGGTTTAGATGTTAGATGGAAATCACTGATTTAACTCAATTACCCTTTAAGATGCCCTTTATTTTTCATAGGTTAAAGTTACATTATGCATCATATGAACCGACAATGAGGGTGTTACATGAGAAGCACCAGGCTTTACTGAAGCAGAAAATGCTGACCTCTCTGGAAAGAGATAGAGCAGTTGGGCAGGTAAAGAGGCCATCAAAGCCACCTCAAAATGATTTTTAACCATTTATTTTTTAATAATATAAGTAGAAATATTGGTTTTATTTCTGAGATAAATTTAAAAAGGTTTTCGACAATTATGTTGTAAAAGATTCATTTGGAAATAGTCATAAAAATTATTTTGTTCATTTTAAACCTATAAAGATTATTATTAAACTAAACATTTAATTAAAACATAAATTTATAGGAGATATAAAGTATAGTTAGAGGAAAAAACTCAGCCATTGTAGTCAAACGTGGGTTTATTTATTTATTTTTAAAGATTTTATTTATTTATTTACTTGTCAGAGAGAGAGAGAGAGCACAAGCAGGGGGAGCAGCAGGCAGAGGGAGAACTGTGGGATCTGACCTGATCCGAAGGCAGATGCTTAACCGACTGAGCCACCCAGGTGTCCCCAAACTTGGGTTTAAATGCTAACTTTGACACCTATAAACATGGACCTTAAACACTTTGAACTCAGATTTCTCATATATAAAGTATAGCCGCAATGACCTGCCTTTTTAAAATATTGTTGTGAAACTTATATGAGGTAATGAAAAAAAACTCCCTGGAATTTACCTCCAAATGAATATTTGACACCCTTGCTTTTGGATTTAATTTCATTCATTCTACTGTTAACACCCTTTTCCATTCTTCCTGGGGGTTTTTGCATAGGCATAGGAACTTCTGGTATAGAATTCAAGAAAGGTAAAACAAAATGTTTATGGACCACTTAAAAAATATGTAAGTGTATTAGAAAATATAAAAGTGCAACTATGCTTAACATTCTTTTATTGTTTTCTATAGATTTTCATTTTTGGCCAAACTTTCAGAAACTACAATAGCTTGCATGATGGTTATATTCTTCCTTGAATAATTTTATTGTTAAGACATGCTTTAATCAAGTTGTATTTTGGTCTGTTTTTGAGTGTAATTCTTAGCTTCTTAAATGCAAAACATTACTTGTGTCTCCATGCTTCTTTGTGTTTGAATTTTAATTTTGTATTCTTGAATGTCTGAATTGTATTATTGGTAATACTGCATAAAATGAGTTTAATAATAATTTACATTTTTATGGCATTATATGTCAAACCTTCAGAATTTCATCTTGCTCCTTTTCATCTAACCCCTCTCCCTAGCATCCCAACAAAAGGCACAACTCTTGGAGTACTTCAAGCTATATTTAGTTTGCTTCTACTTCTTATCCTGCCACAGGCCGTGCTTAGACTTTTGCTTACTTACTTACTCTCTTTATTCCCTGGTCTCATGCTTATCTAACTATTATCCTTCTCCAGGGAGGAATCCATCTGTGATATGACCATATATTCCCAAAAGATCACGTATACTTTGACACCTCTGACAGACCACTCAGACTAAGTTTCACTGTTCAAGGATACTAGAGTCTTCCAGGAATCCATGCTGGCTAGGGCTTATACTCCTCTCTCAATTGTTGAGTTCTATATCTGCAACCTGTCCTACACTTATCTTATGTGTAATTAGGGCTAAGTTATCTTCCTGAAAAGGCCATCAATTCCCTATCTTTTTTAAAAATTTAATTTAATTTAATTATGTTATGTTAGTCACCATTCAGTACATCATTAGTTTTTGATATAGGGTTCCATGATTCATTTTTTTCATATAACACCCAGTGCTCTGTGCAATACGTGCCCTCATTAATACCCATCACTGGGTTAACCCATCCCCCCACCCCCCTCCCCTCTAAAACCCTCAGTTTGTTTCTCAGAGTCCATAGTCTCTCATGGTTCATCTCCCTCTCCGATTCCACCCCCCTTCATTTTTCCCTTCCTTCTCCTAATGTCCTCCATGCATTTCTTATGTTCCACAAATAAGTGAAACCATATGATAATTGACTTTCTCTGCTTGACTTATTTCACTTAGCATAATCTCCTCCAGTCCCATCCATGTTGATGTAAAAGTTGGGTATTCATCCTTTCTGATGGCTGAGTAGTATTCCAATGTAATATGGACCACATCTTCTTTATCCATTCATCTGTTGAAGGGTATCTCAGCTCTTTCCAGAGTTTGGCTATTGCAGACATTGCTGCTATGAACATTGGGGTGCATATGGCCCTTCTTTTCACTACATCTGTGTCTTTGGGGTAAATACCCAGGAGTGCAATTGCTGGGTCATAGGGTGCCTCTATTTTTAATTTTTTGAGGCACCTCCACACTGTTTTCCAAAGTGGCTGTACCAATTTGCATTCCCACCAACAGTGTAAGAGGGTTCCCCTTTCTCCACAACCTCTCCAACATTCGTTGTTTCTTGCCTTGTTAATTTTTGCCATTCTAACTGGTGTAAGGTTGCATCTCAATGTGTTTTTTTTTTTAAAGATTTTATTTATTTATTTGACAGAGAGAGAGATAGCGAGAGCAGGAACACAAGCAGGGGGAGTGGGAGAGTGAGAAGCAGGCTTCCTGCCGAGCAGGGAGCCCGAAGTGGGACTCGATCCCAGGACCCTGGGATCATGACCTGAGCCGAAGGCAGACGCTTAACGACTGAGCCACCCAGGCGCCCTCAATGTGGTTTTGATTTGGAATTCCCTGATGGCTAATGATGATGAACATTTTTTCATGTGTCTGTTCGCCATTTGTATGTCTTCTTTTGAGAAGTGTCTGTTCATGTCTTCTGCCCATTTTTTGACTTATTTGATTTTGGGGTGTTGAGTTTTAGAAGTTCTTTATATATCTAGGAACTACAGATCACTCATGAAAGAAATTGAAGGAGACACAAAAAGATGGAAAAATATTCCATGCTCATGGATCGGAAGAATAAACATTGTTAAAATGTCTATGCTGCCCAGAGCAATCTATACCTTCAACGCAATCCTAATCAAAATTCCAATGACATTTTTTAAAGTGCCGGAACAAACAATCCTAAAATTTGTATGGAATCAGAAAAGACCCTGAATCGCCAAGGAAATGTTGAAATAGAAAAACAAAGCTGGGGGCATCATGTTGCCTGATTTCAAGCTATATTACAAAGCTGTGATCACCAAGACAGCATGGTACTGGCACAAAAACAGACATATAGACCAATGGAACAGAATAGAGAATCCAGATATGGACCCTCAACTCTTTGGTCAAATAGTCTTGGACAAAGCAGGAAAAAATATACAATGGAAAAAGACAGTGTCTTCAATAAATGGTGCTGGGAAAATTGGACAGCTATATACAGAAGAATGAAACTCGACCATTCTCTAACACCATACACAAAGATAAACTCAAAATGGATGAAAGACCTCAATGTGAGACAGGAGTCATCAAAATCCTAGAGGAGAACATAGGCAGTAACCTCTTTGACATTGCCCACAGCAACTTCTTTCAAGATACATCTCCAAAGGCAAGTGAAACAAAAGAGAAAATGAACTTTTGGGACTTCATTAAGATAAAAGCTTCTGCACAGCAAAGGAAACCATCAACAAAACAAAGAGGCAACCCACAGAATGGGAGAAGATATTTGCAAATGACGCTACAGACAAAGGGCTGATATCCAAGATATATAAAGAACTTCTCAATTCCCCTATCTTTAATTTAAGTTGAATTTCTGAGGTTAGATCAAAAGCCATTTTGGGAACATATTTAGGTCACATATACTCTGGGTTTTAGATTGTTTTTTACTGTTTTAGTTAGAAGAACTAAAGATTGGGAGTGTACGTATGAGTCCCAGCTGTGCTGCACAGTAGCCATATGAGTATTCAGGTCATTTTACTTATATATCTGTTTTCTTACAAGATTTCTTAAAAATCTTATTAAAGATTTTCTTTAATATCTCTGTTATTAAACAGAGATCAAATTACTTGCCTTATGTTTGATATGTATCTGAAGTGGAAACTTGTTTATAAAATTACTGTATGAGGCAGGGTTGAATTTTACACACTATTGTTCATATTAGCAAAGAATTGTATTACCTGCAAATTATTTTACCTTGAACCGCTACTTCTGCTGAAGACAAAGAAAAAAGAACCTGCTGTTAAAGACTATCTAGATCTCCCTGGGTTAAAATAGTTTCTTTGAGCTTAACCCTTGGTATCTCAATGCTATATTAACTATTGAGCTAAAACTCAATAGTGTTATTTTCAAGTGTTAATTTTCTGTCTTTGAATCACATCTTCTCATTCTTTCCCGGAGGGTTCCTACAACAAGGGGCACTTATATATCCATATGGCCTATATATCCTTATATATTCTGCTTGGCCTTCACTTGCTAGTGCAGTGTGACTATTTGGTCATATTCCTGGTGTTGAGGTGCATGGTTCTAGGTGGTTCTTTTGAGTGTGCACCTAATATACCTTGCTAAATCCATGGCTTCTGTCACAGCATCTGTGAGATCCTTAACATCTGTAGCCTCATCATCCTAATTCATCTTTTTTTCTGGTTAAGTGCTTCAATTGGTAATGTTTTCATGTATTTCACTGAGAAAAGTTGAGACTTCTGATTTTCCTATACTGCTAATTCAAGCTGTGGGCAATTTGGAAACCACTTAAGGTCTATCTACACAGACATATTGTCTTCAATCAGTGTCCAGACACCACCTGAAGGATATTATGTTTTTCTAGCACAGTGCAAAATATTAAGGTCTTTTTAAGGGACTGTCGATTTTCCTAGATTATTCCCTAAGAAGCTAGGAGCAAGTTTAGTCTATACTTGGAGTATCTTTGAATTATCTGGGTTTCTGGTGTCTTTTGTTTCTAACTAGCCACACTTGGATTTTTAGCTTGAGAGGTGAAATGGATCACTCCTATATGAATTCTTACTTCTTCTCTCTCTCAGGCATAGAGCCTTTCATACTTCTTTGTTAGATAGAATATCTTCCTGTCCTCTTCTACATTATCAGTCACTCTGCATCCTCATTTATTCCAGGCAGTCCTAATCCACATCTGTTGTCACAGGGTATTATTAATAGATACACTTTATTTTTATCAGTTTCTGCAAGTGTTTTTTTAATTTCATGTTTTTCTTTAAAT